GGAACTGTACTGCAGTAATATATAGGTTTAAATATAAACAATTATTGGACATACCCATACATGTACAAGGAGAGATTCCCATGTTAGTATATCTATTAAACCCTGTTTTTATGAAATAATGACAGTTAAAGGAAGAATATCTCCAAAATGTAGACGAAATGACAACTCAGACCAAAAAGGCAAATCAAATGCTGAAAGAGGTAAAACCTGATATTAAGATTAGAGACAGAGTGGGAATAATGAAATTTGGGACTTTCGAACATACTCAAGGGCCTGAGAGGAGCACAAATGAAACCCCCCAGCTCACTTCCAGTGTGAATTTGCCAGGTGCATACCTGTCAGTATGGAAGCGGGTGAGAAGCAGAAGAATGGAGTGCTGTTGGATCCCTGTAGGCAACCTAATCACGTGGGACTGCATTGAGATCAGGCCATTTCGTTTCAGCACTTTTCGATGATAGTGAAACTTTCCAGCATCCACCCTATGAAAGAGGAACCATTTCCATAGTGCTTTAGGCATGCAGATAGCACAGCAGCTAAAAAGAAGCCAACCCCCCCAAGGCTTTATAACAAAAGCTGGAACACGGCAAACAAGAACCGACATCTCTGTATCAATTAAGTTTCTAAAGCAAGTCTATATCTTAAGGTGAAAATTGTTAAGCCGACAAAGGTGGTAGTCCCTTGCCTTAAAAACTCTGCACCTACAATGAAATTGAAGCTTGGTTCAGAGCAAGGGAATTCCCTGGGGTAAGGTTCCCCCATTATTGTAGCAGTGTCTTAGACCTCCCTCCTAAGAGAAGCAGCCTCCAGCCTGACAGAGAAGTTGCAGTCATGATTGGCCTATAAAATATTTTAATAACAAAGCAGGTCAAGACGGTACTTACTTTAGTCCCTAAGAAAAACAGCTCTCCACATCTGTGGGGATATCTACCCACAACACCTTCCTTTCTGGCACTACGGCATCAGAGTTAGCTTAGAATAAACCAGCGCTTGGACTTACTTAAAAGCTGCACTGAGGTCTTTTTGGAGCTCTCCTTGCCAGCGAGCTCGTCCTAATCGCTCCAAAATGCAGTAGGAGAAGTCAGGAAGCTTTAAATCTGGATCCCCTTCCCAACCTATTAGTGCCCTGTGGCGCAACACCTGGGAAGCAACAATGACCAGCCTCTCTCCCCAACTGCAAAGTAAGAAGAGAAATAGTCATTTCCAGGAGTCTCAAAAGAAAGATAGCACTTTCTGTGGTCCAGCAATATTGCCACCAGCCTCTTGGAATTGTAGGTGGACGATTTCAAATTGAATCACACAACACAATGACAATTCCTCCCACAGTCCACCAGTAAATGACCAATTGTTGTTTCTCTTCTGGTGATCACTTTTAAAGACCTTTGTGGCTATCTGAAGAACCACTTATCTTCAGCTGTCTATGCCCATCCAATTCAATCCAGCTGGGTGGATAAGCTTCAGGCCCCGTAAATTAAAGCATACAATCTGGTGGCACCCAGGAGGCATGCCTATTCTGCACCAATTCCTGCCCTCTGGAATGAACTCCCCCCAGAGATACATGTGGCTCGCCCCCATGTCATTTAGGAAATCATTAAAGACCTGGTTGTTCTCTTGCGTGGGAGGCCCTTAAATTAAATTAAATTAAATTAAATTAAATATTAAATTAATAAAAATAACAAAAGGAAAGATTGTACTGCCACCTCTCCCTTCAGCAAAATCCTATCCTTAATAGCCCCTGCTTCCTAAATCAAATTCAAATTCTGATGGCCACAGCAGCCTTAGGCGTGGGTACCAGAATCTAACTCTCCCTTGCCTGCAAAATGCTGGCATGTTTACCTGCTAGTCACACTTTCACAATAGAGTTACAGGAAGAAGTGCCAGGGACTGCTTACATATTTATTAAGTTCCCTACCTCAGCATCAAACTGAATGATCAAGGGAACTAATGTAATCAACAGTAATGCAAATAGAAATATTACACATGGTTCCCACACTCTTCTTTTTTTTAAATAAACTACAATTGGCAATAAAACCTAGACAGGATAAGCAAATAAAGCGGACCCACACGAATACACCCATCAGCCTTTCACAGGAAATAAACTTGACCCAAATGAACTCGAACTGAGGAAGGACCTCCTCTGTGTGGAAGTGGACCACTATAACCTCTGCTGTTGTCCTAACTGGGAATCGTCTCCCCTCCTCACACTGCTGCACAATCAAAGGTTACTCACTTCTCATAAGCCTCCGTGTACGTGCAACAGGGAAGCATGTCCTTCGTCCTGATCTGATCCGTAACGTCCAGCCTCTCTTTCAAATATTGGCACGAGCCCTGCACGCCTTCGCTGTCATCCAAAAGCATATGCACTGGGTAAATGTCGCCTAACGGAACGGGATCCCGCTTGGTCTCTAGAATTCCTGTCTCACGATCAATTTCTTCGTATCTGCAATGAGAATAAAGTCTTTGCCGCGAAACTACCTGCGACCCGCGGTTCGCCCCGGCCGTTGGGACGGGAAAACCGGAGCAACGAGGCGCGCGTTCAGCACACACGAGCCCCCCCACCGACCCCCGGCCCTGCAACGCCCGGAATCCCCACCC